AGCCACACGCGAGAACGTGCGCGCGAGGCACCACTTGCGCGCCGATCTCCGCGCGCACTCAGCCCAGCGCGCGGCAACCGCCAGTGCGCGGATGTGGAATTACGACGTCGTCTGGAAGGTGTACGTCACCATTCTTGGAGGTCCCGCAGTGCGCGGCAGCCAACGCCACCATGGTCATACACCACCTGGGCTGGGAAGCTGGGTCACATTATGACATGAAAGTGATGCAGACAGACGATCTGTGCACGTTATACGACGTGGCCCTAGTCATCGCGCACTCCGACGTTGTTGGCCAGCCTGTAACTGATGCATGTCTCTGGCTGCGGCTCAGCCTGGCTCGCACACCCATCTACAGCTTGCGAGCGCGGGCTCGACCTCTGGGCGACTCGCACGAAAGAAAAGTTTTAGCCATCGCAATCACGGACCGCTCTCGCGTCTCGCGCAGAACGGCGGACTGCTCGAGACCAGGCTGGCGCGTCTCACGCGCGCGGCAAGGCCCACCATGCAAGGCCGCGCGCACGCGCATGCACTCCGCGCGGCCCTGGCGCGAGTCACGCGCCTGAGAGCCCCAGCGTGAGCCACGATTCGTTACGCAACAACCGCTCCACCTTCGCCCTGTGCCACCACGCAGCACGGCCTGAGCGCCCGGACGACCAGGCACACATCCACGCGCGCGCAGAACACAACTTCCGAGAGTACGACGCCAGTGACTTCTGCCTGGACACCTGCTATGAGAACATGCGAACCACCAGATACATGATCCTGCGCGGGGGGCATCACGACCGCCCGGGCCAGGACGTACACGCAGCTCATGCGACCTCCAGCGAGCAGCACCGCAGTCGCGGCCAAGGGGGCCCCTGCGCACATTAAGGAGCTACCCGGCCCCCAGTCAGACTCCTGCGCTCATCCCGCCGTCACCTCGCCGAGGAAATTTCGGGGCGCTGGAATCGTCCCGAACGGCGGCCTGAGCCCGAGTCATGAGGCCCCCTGCACGAACAGTCGCGCATCTTGCCGCGTCGCATCGCCGCGGACGCGTCCGCGACCGACCTCCACGCGGCGATCACCCCCATTCGCGGATAGGCGACAGCCCGCGCGCACTCCACGGCCCAGACGACCCCACTGGATCAGGATATGTCCACGTCCACCTCCATCGGACCGACGTCGGCTTCCACGCCGTCGAGAAAGATATCTCGACCGCCGCGCCGCTCCAAGTAGAGATGAGTCGGGCGCGCGGCCAGGACGCCTTGACCGCAGTGGCGACCAGCGCGCGCAGGATCTGGCCGCAGGATCGGATTGGCAGCAACGCGCATCTGCCGGCTGCGACTTCGTGCCCAAACGCACGCCGCCGATGTGCCCCCACGCGCAGGCCAGCGCGTCCGCGGCACCGTCTGCGCCCAGCGATGCTGCTTCCGAAAAAAAGCGCGCTAAGCTTGGGCGCCCCGAGGCGGGCCCACCAATCCTAGCCTGCTCGAACACGACGTGCTCGCTGACAAATGCCGAGGCAGAGTCACTGACCTACGCCAGTGCACCCCGCTCGCACGGCACTGCTGAAACTTCGAGGCCAAGCACAGGATACGCCTGCCCATGCACACATAAGCAAAAGTCGGAAGACCGACCCAGCATGCGAGGGATGGATGACAGACGGGCACCAGCAAAGGGCGAGAACAAAATGTTGCCAGTTGTTCCTGCTAACGCTGCAGCGCTTCGCTGGCAATCTTTGCTGGGGCAGCTCGGAGGGGCGAGCCGCGACGCGCCCGTTCGCTGCCAAGCGCGTGCCTGAGTACGAGGGGCCACGCGTGCATCCACTCCGTTTCCACACCTTGCTAACGCCTAGCACGGCATCAAGAGCGAGCGCACGCAGGTGACAGCGGACCACGAAGCTGTCGTGGCCGGCGGGAACGAGTTCACGGACATCGCGGACGACGCCACTTCCGCGGCCACGACGCAGAGCCACAGCTTCACGCAACCTTCAAGGTGCCGCTCGCAGACGCGGGCGCCCGTGAACGCGGAGAAGCTGGAAGCCAGCTCCGCGGCGAAGCGTTTCGCTGGGAGGCGGCGCCCCCTGGACTTCGCGCCGCCCGCATCGCACGCGCAGGCGACAGTGCGTCTCGGCGCCGCTGCCGACGAGGACCCTTTCGCGAAGGAGGGGCCGCATCACGAACACCAGTGCAAAGTTGAACTCGGATATCCCCGAGTCTGCCGAGGATGGGTCTGGCGCGCCAGTGCAGCTCCAACGCGCGGCAGCGCCCGGCCTTGGAGGTCATCCAAGACTTACTCCTCACTCGTCGCTTCCGCGTCAGCCCCTGGAGTGGGCACTCATTCGTCGACAGCGGTCTGGCGACATAGCCGCCCATCGGGAGCGATGAAAGGGGAGCGGCGCTGCGCTGCCCAACGCGCGCCCGCGCACTGCCTGCGCCGCACGACGACAGCATCCTCGCACGACAGTCGCGCGCGAGCGCGCCAACGCGCGCAGTTGCGCCTATCCCAGGGTACCGCCAGTGAGGGCGCGCCCAGAATCTCAACATGCGACATTAGCGGCCGGGCTCACCGTCATCAGCCCGACAGCGCCACGACGACACGGCCGATGCGGTTGCACGCGACTCCACATCTTGGGCGGGGACAGCCGGCCGAATCAGCTCCCGCACGCGGCGGCAAGAAGGGCGGGCCCCGCCGTGCCAGCAACGGATCGACGGGGAACGCTCGCACTTTCACCTGGCACAACATCTCCGTCCTCCTGAACGCGCTGTGCAGCACGAGCGCACGGGAGTCTAGACAGCCACCGCCACGTGCCGATGGGCTTGAGCACGCCCAAGTCCGACGTGCAGGATGTAGAGCACTTGGCGATTGAGTCACGACGAACACCTCGAGGGTGACCCAACCGCTCGCTTATCGCGGACCTCGTTCGACACCAGCACCACCGCTGCCATCAGCGGCCGGCCAGCCTCTCCGTCAATTCCCATGGTTTTCTGGTCTCGCAGTAGATCGGCACCACGAGGACAACAACCTGACCGTCTTCGTCGCGAAGCTCTGGCGGGTACAACGCGCTAGGCATTCGACAAGCGTCATGTGCACGTGCTCGGCGTTGGCACCTCAGCACCGCCTGCACTGCGAGGTGCTGGTACGACAGCACGCCACCACACCGGTCAGTGCTGTAACACCCTATACGCTTCCTTGCAGCCTGGCACGTTGGCCACGCTGCGCCGCCGCCGCTGACATTGTAATAGCTACGAACAGCCGAGGCAGGCACCTGCGACCCTACGCTGCTGTCGGCCGCATCCAAACAGCACGCGCCGCGCCGGTGCCATTCGGCAGTCACCAGACCCACACACGGACCAGTCAACAGCAGTGATCGGGAAGCGCTAGCAACGGAAGACACTGTCGCAAACAACTGGACGAGCTGCGTCTGCACGCCCGCGAAGCAAGGCGCGCCAGTGCTCTTCAGCCGCGCTGCCGCACAAGCGCCACAACGGCCAGCTACGCCCGCCGGCACATACTCACCAAAGAGTGCCGAAGGCGTGCGGCCGAAGGCAGAGCCAGGGAGCAGACCTGGCTGGCAGGCACGATAGTGTTGCGGCTCGAGCGCACGCCAGGCGCGATCTGTGCCGGGCCCCACGAGCAACCCGGGTTTCGCCTCTCAGCCAACATCGGTCGGTCGACACCACATCGGGACAGGACCTTGTTTTTATGCTCTCCCCGCCGTGGGGTGCTGTTACTATTCGCGGCCCTGGTCATGGCCAGCTTATCCCATGTACGAGTTGACGACAGACGAGCCGACTGGGCTCCCCAGGGTTCTCGACATCCCGTTCGGGCTGAGGCTCCTGAGCCATGGGCACGGTGTGCCAGTCGTCCACTGCGAAGGCCACGCGTTGAACACTCAGGCACCTCATTACGGGCGGCCCTCTGTGGCCGAAGCACTGCGGAGGTACACTGTCCCATTGCCCGGTGGCCCCGACTCAACTAGGAGCGCGCGCCCGCTGCCATCTGGCTTACAACGTGCACGCGAAAAGTACACAAGCGGGCCCCAAGGAGCAGCCAAGAAGGCCCCAGACGGCCCATTGTTCGACCAATTTGCTGTGGGTTTGCCGTGGCGCTGGGGCGCACAAAGTCCGTGGGCTTGCCGACGTGCTGAGCGGGAGCCACATTCTTGAATTTTGTCGCGGGTTTGTCGCGCCCCCCTCTTTGTGTGTGGGAACCACGTTCCGAAGTATGTTGTTGGAAAATCTCGGCCAGCTGCCGCTTCACACAGGTTTGCCGTGGGCTGGCTGCGCGGAGCTGCGACCGTTATTTACGGGTGCAGCCGGAGGAAATTTCGGACGGGGGGGGGCCATTTTTGAGTGCACTGCGGGGATGTCTCGGGCAGGGCCGCATTCCTGAGGTTTTGCCGTGAGTTTACCGCGTGCCCCTTTTCCAAGGTTGAAGTTGCGTGCACGGGGGTCGCGTTATAAAGAATAGGGTGGGAAGGTCTCGGTTGGGAACCGATTATCTGTGGGTTTGCCACGTCGAGCTGGGACCCCATCTGGGGCTGCAGTCGGAGACAGCTTAAGGAGCGGGTTTCGTTCTGAAGTGCTCTGCGGGTAAATCTCCTACGGGGGTCGCATTTCACAGGGATGCCACGGGTTTGCTGGATGCAGTTTTGATGCCGGGTTTGTTTGCCCTGGTGCCCGTGTTGTCCATTGGGCCACGCTCACAACAAACAGCGCGCCCTCTTTTTGAGCCGTCGAAGATCTAGATGCGAGGGGTACCAATGCATTGCACTTGTTGGCTCAAGGTTCTCCAGCGCCCATCGCTGACGGCTGTCCATTGACAGTGCCCTTATTGTGGGATAGCACCAGCATTACATTCAGCGCCAGCGGGCACTAACCGATTGCTTGCGGACATGTCTGTGAAGCGGCATGACAAGCTCAAGTATGTCAAGTTCGGCAAAACAGACATGATGGTATCGGAGATCTGTGGCGGAACCATGACTTGGGGGTCTTTCAACGCCGACGAGTCGCAATGCCATGCGCAGATGGATGCTCTTGTTTCCGCGGGCGTCAACTTCTTTGACACTGCCGAGCTCTATCCGGTTGCGTTCAATTATGGCAAGACCACGGAAACGTGGATGGGCAATTGGCTCCAGAAAAACAGTGGAAAGCGCAGCGAGCTTTATTTTATCGCTTCGCTCATTCCGCTTGCCCATATTGCCTCGTCGTTGTCGTTTGTCGGGGTGTTGTTGTCAATGCGGTGCGGTTGGACGGCTGCCATTTTTCGGAGGCGGTGGGTGGCGGGTCGGAGGCCTCACGGATGTTGGTTGGGCTCTCGTGATTGGCCTCTCAGGGGCCTTTGGGAGGCAGTTTTGAAGCCTCTGAGGGGCCGTGTTGGGGCCTCTTGGGGGTTCTTGGGGGCCTGTTGGGGCTTTTGGGGGTGCTTGTTGGGGGCCCCTTGGGGCCCCTTGGAGCCTCTTGGGGGCCTCTTGGGGCCTCCTGGGGGCCTCTTGGCGCTGAAGGCTGGACTTTTGGGTTCCTCGTCACCTTCTTGTGCCCCTCTTGGGGCCGTTTTGGGGCTCTCTTGGGCCGTCTCGGGGTGCCTCTTGGGCTGTCTTGGGGCCATATTGGGCCGTCTTGGGGCTGTCTTAGGGTCCTCTTGGACCCTCATGGGGCGATCTTGGGAGCCTCTTGGGCCATCTTGGAGCGTCGGGAAGCCGAAAAAGGAGAAACCCCAAAACGTTTCTTGGCTCCTCCTGGGGCTCTCCGGAGGGCGTCGAGGGCAGCGGCCAGGAGAAAAGCAGTCTCTGGCAAGGGATCGGCCGGGGTATCTTTCGTCCAGGGAACCCCCGGGGACCGCCCCGCGCGCACGAAGCAGAAATGCTGTACAGCAGTCACCAGAGATCTTGGCACGCCCCTGGCCCGTTGGGCCGTCGAGTTTTGCGACAAAGTGCAATGCCGCAGGCATTGGTGGCCACGGCGAAGCTCACGACTACAACGCGGACGTCCTTCTGGCATCCTGCAAGGCTTCCATCGAGCGCTTGAGGTGTGAATACATTGATCTGTACTATCTCCACTTTCCAGTCCGCGATATGCCACTCTTTGGGTGCGCCTCCTTCTTCCCAGATGGCAAGAATCGCCCCTTCAAGTTCATGAACAAAGGGGAACTCACGGATTTCGACGCCTCCGTGCTGGCGGTCAAAAAGCTTTTCGACGCTGGGCTCATCAAGCACTGGGGCCTCTCCAACGAGAACGCCTATGGTGTCACCATGTTCTGCCTGACGTGTGACAAGCACAAAGTACCACGGCCCGTCTGTGTGCAGAATGACTACAGCCTGCTGAACCGCACGTACGAGAGCGACACGTACGAGGCGTGCCATCGCTTCGGCTTGGTCGGCATTCCTTACGGCGTCCTTTGTGGTGGCGTCTTGACCGGCAAGTATTTCGACAAGTCCGAGTTCGCGACCAAAGATCCAGATCGCCCTCTTGCGGAATGCAGGCACCGGTCACGGTCAGATTTCCAACCACGTTACGGCATGCCAGCAGCGATGAAGGCGACCGAGAAATACATGGCCCTCGCCAAAAAGTACGGCCTGACACCCGCGGAGTTGGCAATTGCCTTCGCACTGAGGCAGCCTTGCAACACATGTGTTATTAGCGGCACCACGACGGTCAGACAGGTGGAGGAATGGGTTGGTGCCAGCAAAATCGAGAGCCTCCCAGAGGAGTTGCTTCTTGAGATTGACGGGGTCCATGAAGAATGCCGCAACCCCAGCATGTACTACGTGAACAAGGATGCATGTATGAAGGCTGAGGGACGGAGCGCAAGTACGCCTGAGGAGTGACAAGGAATGCCGTCATAAATGTAGCTGCGCGCCGCCATCTGTGCATTCTGCGGTGACTGACCGCTCATGGTTCGATATATGAGGCTGCTGGCTGGCGGCCGGTTTTCGCAGTGAATTCGCACTGTCCGAGGAGCGGCGCAGAAGGAAGTGGGAGGATGAGTCCAGGGTATGGAGGAGGAGGGAGAGGAGGATGAGGAAGAGGAAGGAGGAGGAGGAGGAGGAGGAGGAGGAGGAGGAGATATAAGCGCCCCCATCAGTTTTCGAGACAGTCGCATGTCCGATGCCATCTCAGCCCACCTGACTTATCTGCGCTCGAAGCTACCCTGTGTTGCTCAGCCTCGTCGCGGCAAAAAGAAACGTGTGAGGGATATCAATGGTTGGGGTTGTGTTCGGAAAATCCTTAGAGGTTGTCCAGGCTGACTTCAAGCGGCCCCCGGGATGCGGGGCGCCCTGGATGGCACCGCCAGTGGCAGCGCGGCGCACGGGCATTGAAGTTTGAGACCGCCCTGGACTGCCTTGGGAGCCTGCTGAGACCAGTTTGGAATGCCTCCGGCAGCTGTCGAGTGCGTTTCGGATGGACTTGGGCAAGTTCATTTGCACGGCAGCCCCCCCCGCCGCCTTTTTTTGAATAGCACTTGGCCGAACCAGTGAGCCAGTGATTCTGTGCCTGCGTGAAGCCTGGATGTCGGAGGCAACGATGTGTGCGAATAGCCCAGGGAAGAGCGGTACAAGCGTCTCAGGGCGCCGATGGTCCATGCCTTCGGAGAGGTTCCCGGGCGAATACGTGCAATGCCTGCCCATGGGCCAATCGCCCCTAATGATGGTCACTTCCGAGGATCTCCCAGGAACCGGACTTGCCGGGCTACCCGCCAGGGTATCACGAGCCGCGTCCGGCCCTGGCGGCGAGGAGACCCCCCAGAGGGCAGAACGGGGAGGAGCCGGCTCCTGGAACGCTCTCCGAGCGTTTGTGCCCCCAGCTTTTCGCTCCATTTGGGGCCTCCTGGGAAATCCCGGGGGCACCTCTAGCAACACCCGAACATCCTCCAGACCGGATCTCGGCGATCCCCGCCCTGTCCTGGTCTGGTGTTGTCCCGGTCCCCGCCTTCGCTGCCTCTACGGGGCTACGTCTGACCTGCGCCCGCCATTGGGGCTCGCGGCGGGGACCAGGCGGCGAGCAGCACCGTGGTCGGTCCCTTCTGACGTCCAGGGCCCCCTCTCAGGACCTTCAGGAGCCAGCCTCAGAGACGAGATCGGCTTCGTCTCAAGCGCACCCATCAGAAACCTCGAGAGCCACAAACAACTTTCATGGACTCCAAAGTTTGCCCAAGAAAGTCAAAAATCTGGGCTGGACCCGGGGCGTTTTCGCTCAGCTCATTCTTGTTCGTAGAAGGTTCGTATATCTGGGCATGGGCTGCTGTTTAAGAAAACGCTTGGAGTGAAGTCCATGTTCTCAGCTGAAAGTTCTCTTAACGTCCGGCACGCGCGCGGGGTCGCAGGCAGGGGTCCAAGGGGAGGAGGCGCCAGCCCGTGCGCGCCGTGCAGGGCTGGCCACCTCACGCGGCGGGTTGGTCGCAGCTGGCCGCGTTTGTGGGGCGCTCCCGAGCCGGCTCGAGGAGATGCAGTCGAGCACTTGAGTAAGAAACCTCCCCCCGAGAAGCCGGGCCAGCTTTTCTTAACCAATTTGCCGGAGAGCTGGCCCAGCTTCTTGAGCGCGTTCGCCCCTCCAGCATTAGCAACAGGAATTGCCCCAGGTTTGTGTTGAGAAACTTCGGAAGGCTGGCCCAGATTGCTTACGTGAGAAGCTTCATGATCACGTGTTCGGTTGTGAGAGGAGGGGGGAGGAGGAGAAGTAAGATCGAAAAGGAATCGCACAAATTTAGTTTTACCACCAGGGGGGCCCAGGCGCCGATCCAAGAAATCCGCGCGGAGCTCCGAAAGTTCATGGTCATGCCCTTTCTGTTCCTCCACAAGGGGAGGAGGAGGAGGAGGAGGAGGAGGAGCAATCAGGGGCAACGTCAAGGGGGGATTGGCTCAGGGGAGAACGCATCGACCCCCGATCGCCCATTCATCGGCGATGGGAACCTGACAGCCCAACCCGCCCAGGAACGTGCGATTTCGTGGTCGGGGGCCTATCGCCGATCCATCGGCCATGTGTCGCCGATTCAAGCTCGATGTTTCCCCCCCTGAGCTGGTCCCCCCCTTTATGCTGCCCCGCAAGAAAGGAGCAGGAAGAGGGGAAGGTGGAGGGCACCCTGGACCGGCCAACGCGAAAACAGTTAACATGGCGAAGGACCCGACCTTTCGCATCTACAAGGGTTGTGGGAGATGTTCTGTCCTCTCGGGAAGCGGCAGACGAAGCAGGATGTTGCAATGGGGCAATCAGGCGCCATCCAGGTAAGTGTTTATTGCAGTTGTGTTTTGGCGGGTTCAGGAAACACTTACACAGACGCTGCAGAGGGTGAGAGCAGGGTATGGTTAGTTTCAGAAGCCAATGAGGCAAACAAATACCGCCAGCATGAGTGTTTCTTGAGACCGTGCGCTGAGAGGGTTCAGGCAATACTTACGCAGACACTCAGGAGGGCGAGGGTTGCATGAGCAGGGTCAGGATCGAGGCGAACGGAACAGGCGGCTGCAATGGTAAAACGCCGCCAGCATAAGTATATATCGGACACTGCATGGGGCGAAGGCAGGCTAGGATGAGCTCTAGGAACCAATGCAGCAAACAAAGCGATCGTGCATTGGAGGGTTCAGCAAACACTTCTGCACGCACTGTACATGATGAGAGTCAGATTTCAGGAGGAGCATTAGCGGAGAGCTAGGGGGAAGGGCGTTGGCAGGAGGCGAGGGCGTGGGGAAAGAGGCGAGGGATCAGTTTTGGTTTCTGGCCGCCGTGCGAACCGTTCAAGGTAGGGCTTCAGCAACACGGAAACATGTGGTGTGTTCCACATACGTGTGCCGATCACCTCGAGAGAGCCCCGTGGGCCAGCCGCAAGAGAGGTGTGCAGAAATGGGGCGGCGCCGCCATGGGTACGACCCCTGTGGAGCCGCAGGTTGAGCCCCCTATGGGGTCTCGAAGCGTGCGGGGAGGGGGGGGGGGCGGAGCCGCATGGGAGCCTCTTGGAGGCCCCTTGGAAGCCTCTTGGGAGCCTTCTGGGTGCCTCTGGGGTGCTCCCGGGGCTACAGCGGTGCCGAGAGCGACCGGAGTGCCGCTCGGGGAGCGCTTGGGGGGCATCTTCGGAGAGGACCGGAATGAGGCGACACCGCCATACGGGCGACCTCGCTGGGCCGTGAGGGAAGCTCACTGTGGGTGCAGGCGGCGTCCCCATGCGAGCGCCCTCTCTGGAGCCGTGGGTGGAGCATCCTATCGGCCAGGATCATCGTGAGGGGTGCTCCGAGGGGCGCGGTGCTGTCATATGAGCGCCCTCTCTGAAGCCGTGGGTGGAGCTTCCTATGAAGCCACGAAGCGTGTGAGGTGCGTGCCAAGATGAGCATCGGCAGGGATAGGGAGGAGAGGGGGGTAGGGGGGGTGAGTGAGTGAGAGTGAGTGAGTGAGAGAGTGAGGAGACGCGCGGCGCTGCGGATTCACAACGAAGACTCAATTCCTCAGGAGGGCGGAGGAAAATGAGAAGGAGGAGGAGGAGGAGGAGGAGGAGGAGGACGGGGAGGCGAAGGAGGAGGACGACGACAACCACGATGACGGCGAGGACGACGACCACAACGACAAGAACGAGGAGGACGGGGAGCAGCATAGCGAGGGCGAGGAGTTGGGAGCGATGGCGAGGGTGACGGCCAGGACGAGGACGAGGGAGAACAGGGCGAAGAGCGGGAGCGCCAGTCGGCGCTCTGTCCCGGCAGCGGGCGCTCGAGGACCCTGGCGGCCGCAGAGGGCCCCAGCGGGTCTCCAGGCGGGGTCCGTGGCTTCGCGCACGGGGTCGTCGTCGACGTCGTCGTCCCAGCTGCATCCCGAGGGTTGAGCGTCCTGCAACACGTGAGCCGGTTTCCCAGCGCAGTGGTTGCATTCGGGATTCTTCCCTGAGGTGTCGGAAGCTCGCCCCACGGGCGCTACTGTTTGGTGTCTGCTTGGGCCCCGACGGCTTCCCGCCCAACTGGTCCGTGGATTGCACTTCTCGGTGGCTGTTTAGACCCCGATGGCTTCTCGCCCGGCTGGCCCTGTGGGTTGCACTTGTCAGCAGCTGCGCTAACCCAGATGGCTTAGCTTGTTCCCGATGCTTTCGCCACACTCCAGGGGGGTCAAACGCATATGACGCGCTGTGCCCACATACATGGGGTTCCACGCTCATCGGGATCAACATTGGGTTTCACGCGCATGCGGTCCTACGCGTGCTGCACGAAGTAATTGTTGCGCTCGCATTAGCAACGTTGTCATATGAGCTGGGTCGTAATACGGAAAGAAAGGAGTCGGCCTCATCAGAAACGAGGCCATTACCGTCACCGTAACAGACAGAAACGAGATCGTAATCATTGTCGCCGTCATCACCGTCGTTACCACCGACGTCGTCATCTGTTTCAGCAGATGGTGGGCGCGCTTATAGTGATTACATTCTGGATAGATCAACCAGTTGATCGCACGTAGCACGTAGAACGTAGAGATGGTGTGCTGGAGAAGGGCGAGAGCAACGAATTTCGAATGTCATTGTTGCTGTAATATACAATGCGCTCTGTACATGATTACCTTTGTCATCGACCCTTTACGACGTACACACACACCAATACAACTCAACAATGTATTATCCACGGGTTACTTCCCATCAGTTTAAATTCCGATTCGATCGATTCGATCCGACGCGGGCACGCCCGATTCCGATTCGATTCCGATCCGATTCGGCGCAGTTGGACATCGATTCGATTCCGATTCGAATTCGAGCCGATTCGATCTGGATCCGTTGCGCCTGGATATCCAAGGGTGTTTCTCTCGATATCCATGTGTGCGTTGTGCGTGCGGATAGGGGTCCCGAGGAAAACAGGAGACCCGAGAGAAAGCAACGGTCACGAGGGAAAGCAGAGGACGAGGGAAAACGGAGGCCAGAGAGAAAACTAGCGTCCCCAGGGGAAGCGGGGGTCCCGAGGGAAAGCGGGCACCCTGGAACGCGGACCCCACGCCAATTCAAAAAATCCGCCCGAACCTCTGTGAAAGCTAATGTTCCCCAATCAGTGCTTGCACGCTGGGGGATTCTTGCTTGCGGTCTGGGGCTGCGTGTCGGTCTGGCGGCTAAGTTGTCGCCTTTGCCGCCTCGTCGCCGCCCGTTTGGGCTCGGGTGTCGGTCTGGTGGCTACGTTGTCGCCGTCGCGGCCCCGTCGCCGCCTCGTCGCCGCCCGTTTAGGCTCGGGTGTCGGTCTGGCGGCTACGTTGTCGCCGCCGCCGCCCCGCAAAACTGCATAGACAGCACCAGACGGAGTGCTCCGCGCAGATTGCACCACGCAGATCCCAAGTAGGCCGCTGAAAAACACTCTTCGGGGTCCACTGCTGGCTCACCTGTGTCTGTTGCTGCTGTTTCTCCACGAGGAAGAGCATCCCGCAGGGGTTCGACGGCGCAGGATCCCGCATCGGCAATGCAGTCGGCCCGTATCATACGGAGGCGCGATAAGGGTGCAAGGGCCTTGGACCCCCATTTCGAAGCGTTTCGAGCGGGGCGCGGCCAGCGAAAGTGGCAAAGGATGGACCGAGGAGGCAAGGATGTAAGGGTTCCCTTGGGAAGGGTGCCCATCCTTACCATGCGAGTGGAGTGCATGGCCGAGCGTGATGGAGAACATGACTTGGAGCCGCTCGTCAGACCCGCTCGGGGAGCAGGACGATGACGATGACGATGGGGGCGCCGAAGAGGAGGCCCTCCAAGGAGAGATCAGTGCGCTCGGCAAAAGCGACATCTGCACCGGGAGGGGCAACGACGAGCTCCCGGCGAGCAAATGGGGCAACCCCTTCTCGGGCGGGTGGTAATGGGGGGTGACCCACGTGGGGGGCGAAGCAAAAAGGCCCTAAAGGGAGCCCTGAATGGGCCCCTTTGGGAGCCAGCTGGTGCCCAAGAGGGACCCTGAAGGGCCCATCGAGGGCTTTGTTCGTCACCCCCAATTTGGGTCACCCCTCAGTACCACCCGCCCAACCCCGTCAAGCGCTACGGCACGAAGGCCGCCACAAGGAACTTCGCGGATTGGCCCCCGACGACGCCAGATCTGCTCGAGGCGCTCTCGGACCTCGACAGCACGACCCTCAGGCGCCACTGCGAACTGCACTCCGACTACCACGCGGACGCCATCATCGCAGCATGGCGAGAAGAAACATGGCGCACGACCGAGAGGTTCCTGCGCCAATGCGGAGGCGCAGGGCCGCCGCGCTTCTGCGAGCGCATCGAGGGCCAGGGAAGCTTTCACGATGGCGCGGGCCTCCTATCGCCGACCGCTGGGACCCAGCCCTTCGGAAGTTCCCGAGCTGTATCGAGCTGAGGTCCGAGCTCTTCGAAGGGATCGTAAAAGCTATGAGCGGTTGGGACGCCACAGAGCGTCGTCCGCTCGATTTGGCGGCACAGAGACACCCATGGCGGCACCGATCCGAACAAGCCATCCGACCTCGTGAGGAAGGAAGTCTACGGGGCGGGCAGGCCACGGCGACGATTTGGGCTACATCGCGGAGGGGCAGCTCATCCGCCTTCGTCCGCTGGCGGCACCGACGCGAAGCAGAGGGGCCCGATGCAGAGTTGATGAAGGAGCTGAAGACGGGGGTCACAGCGGGCATCCTGCACTAGATTCCCTGGCAGGAAGATCTTTCTCGAGGAAATCGCGAAGTGGCACCTCGACCAGGACGCGACCAAGTAGGCCCCAGAAGCAGCCAACTAACCAACTACAGCAGCGTGGAAGACCACAGCGAATGGTTATGAGAATACCTTGCGGACGAGGTGAAGGTGGACAGGATGATCCGGATGTCCACGGAGCAGCTACGCAATTGCTTCCGCGGTAGCTACGCCATGGCGGCGCTAGCGGCCCTGGAGAGCGCGAGCGGCAATAATATGAAAGTGCACGATGTCACGCACGAGGCCGCCGTGAACCACCAGATCCGATGCAGGAACCGATAGAGGGCGCTCAGACCCGCAGAGAAGAACGATTTGAATTACTACGAGTACGAGGACCAGCACGAGGTCATCTGTTCGCCCGTCACCGCTGTCAGGGGCGCGCTTCGGCTCGTCAAGATCCGCGAGGACGAGTGGGGCATGCTCACCTGCGAGTGCGGAGGCGAAATCGACTGCAACACCATCGGCACCTTCGGCATATCCAGCGTCCCAGAATGGCGGGCCAGGCTGTTCGGAGCCGGCCCACGGGCAATGTTTTGTCTGCTGGGAGGCAATTGACCCGTGGAGCACCCCACCTACGCCGACGACCTAGGGGCGATCGGAACAGGGCGACGCGGGAGATTGGCAGCACTGCTTTTGGTCGTCCTGCTCGACGTCTTCGGCTTCCTGGCGCAGAGGGCCAAGACGCGGGGCGGCCTCAAGGCGGACTGGATCGGCGGCCGCTGCGACCACACCACTTACTACACCACGGGCCTCTCGGAGGCGAGGGCGGCCCGGGTAGCAGCCTGGTTACAGAAAACGGTCGAATGCGGCACCACCCACAGGAACGAGATGGCGCCAGGCTTGGGGCGCCTGGGCTCCGCGGCGATGGCCCTCGTCTGGAGGCGACCGCCCCCGTGCCCCGCGCGCGCCTGGTTCGTCGGCGGCGTAAGGGCAAGCAAGACAAGAAGAGAGCCCCCCTACCGCGGGCGACAAGGCACGCGCTGACATGGAGTGGCGAGCGATTGTCAAGGGGGCACAGGCTGCAGGGGTCCATCAAGTTCAGAACCAAGAGCGCCGGGCACGTCCGCTCAGACGCGAAGGCGGAGGGAGGACGGCGTTGGATCGGTGGCCGGGAAGCACCGCTGAACAGCAGCACGCGAGGAGCTCGTCGGCACGCGCTGGAAGTAGAGAAGGAATGGTTCCATTGGGCGCGGGCCAAGACAGGCGACCCTACCTGGGTTCCGCGCGATGAAGACCAGGAGGCAGACGACATCAGCAACATGAAGACGATGGAACTTCGACGAGTCCCCCAGGTTCCAAGTGGCGGCCGCGGACCCGAGGTGGCACGTGCTCGACAAGGCGGCGCAGGCCCCCCAGGAATTCTGCGAGTCGATCGTCGAGGGCGGCCGCCCCGGGCAGGACACCCGCGGCCGGGCGCGGCCGCGGGAGTCGTGGACGATGCGCGCGCTTTGAGCCGCAGCGACAGCCCCGCTCAGCGCGTCTCGGACGACGTCACGCGGGCGGAGCTGGATTTGGCCGCCGTAGCTCGCGAGGCCCCGCGCGACCCTTCGCCATGGGGGCCCAGCTGCGAGGACCTGTGGCGCGCCGACAGGATGGTCTTCAACCGCCGCCCTCTGGCGGGCGCCGCCACGATGGGAGCCTCGCCCCTGGAACCCCGCCTCCGCCACGGCGGCAGGGGGGGTCCCCGGCGGGAGGGGTGCCCCAAACCGTGGAGAGGCCCTACGAAGGGAGGGCAAGGCTTCGAGACCGCGCCCCGGTTCCATCGCGCACGGGCGCGGCACGGCAGGGCGGAGGCGGCGGTGCCTGAAAGAGTGGGCCGAACAGCAGCGAGGCGTGGGCGCGGACCTGGCGCTCGCAGAGTCTGGCGGGGGGCTGGGATTCGCCCCCGCGCCTCCGGGCCTCCCCCCACCTGGGTGACCCGCTCCCATCGCAGAGGAAGGGGGCATCGAGATCCTGAGAGGAACTGGGGCCTTGCGCACAGGGCCCTTGGATCCGCCACCCATAAAAGAAGCATCGACATCATCCCCGACCCTTCTTTTACCGCCATCCCACCGCTATCAGGGCTATTCGAGGATACTCCCTCATGCGCCAACACAAAAATGCATTCTCTTTTTGCGCCCGACGCTTGCGGCCATGGGCTCAGGCGTTCGGCCAAAGGGTTTTCAGGGTTCTAGGGGTCGTCTTGGGCAGTCTGGCGGCCACAAAGCCGAGTTTGCCAGGCTGCCGAAGAGCCCCCCAAGAGAGCCCCAGGAGGGCCCTTAGAGCTACCGAGAGCACTTTTTTTTGAGCGTTGCTTGGAAGACCACGGAGGGATTGTTGGAGGCGGTTTGGGCGGGGTTGGCCTCTCGGAGGCCCACGCGAGAAACGCCAGAAGCACCCAGGAGCGCCCAGGAACTCCGGCAAATTGGCGGTCTAAGCTTTTCAGAATCACACCGCCACCTTAGCACGCACATTTGCATCAGCTTCGGGCTTTCCGCTACGCGCTGAAGTCACGGTGGCGGATTCAGAACGAATAGGATCGGAGGAGGAGAGATCTCCAGATGCCCCTTGGTGCCCTTGGAAGACCCCCGAGCCCCAGCGAGGCCCAAAAGCATTTCAGAACCTCGACGACGAGGACCAGGACAAGGGGTTGATGGCCAGCATTGGGGCGATGGCGAGCATTGCTGAGACTAGAAGCGGGCAGAGCCACGAGGGCGCGGAAATGGAATCGAACTACCTATGGTCGCCCATATTATCATCCTCTTCCGCTGTCTCCTCCGTCTTCTCCGTTTCCTGTTCCGCTTCTTTCCTCTTCATGTGCCGTACCTGCGTCTGCGTCACTGCATGTTACTCGGGCTAAGCCCGCAGTTATTCTGTGACATAGGCGCATTGGCATGTCAGAGATATGTTGGTTTTTGTCCGAATTTGGGTGTGCGTGTGCGGGGCGGGGTGGGGCAGGCAATGCTCCTCCTCCTCCTCCTCCTCCTCCTCCTCCTCCTCCTCCTCCTCCTCCTCATCCTGCTCCTCCTCCCTCATCCTCCTCATCATTATCATCCTCCTCATCCTCCTAATCGTCATCATCAGCGTCGTCATCAGCATCATCAGCAGCAGCAGCGGCACCATCATCATCATCATCATCATCATCATCATCATCATCATCATCATCATCATCGTCATCGTCATCATCATCATCCTCATCCTCATCCTCATCCTCATCCTCATCCTCATCCCCCTCCTCATCCTCATCCTCATCCTCATCATCACAATCGTCATCATCATCATCATCGTCGCCTGCATCGTCATCATGATCGCCATGATCTTCATCAGCAGCATCAGCATCAGCATCAGCATCATCATTATCATCAGCATCGTCATCGTCATTAGCATCATCAGCATCATTAACATCACCATTGCTATCAGCATGCTCACCATGATCATCATCATCATCTCCATCACCATCATCAGCAGCATCAGCATCAGCATCATCGTCAGCAGCAGCAGCATCAGCATCCTCATCATCATCAGAAGCAGCATCAGCAGCATCAGCATCAGCATCATCATCAGCAACAGCAACAGCAGCATCCTCTACCCCTCCCGCCTTATTCAGCCATCTGGGCTCGAGCCCAGCTGCAGCCATGGACGCCCCCAGTGGCCCCGAGGACCCCGCGCCCAAGGAGGAGCCCCCGGAGTAGTAAACCGGACGAGATGGGCAGCCAGAAGGGAGGGGACCTAGGTCTCCCAACACGGATCCGAGTAGTTAGGGCCAGGGGATCGACGATGCATCGGCGAAACGGCCCGATGCGGAGCCTGATTTTCTCCACGCCAACGGCGCCGATGCATTGACGACCTCGCCGACGCATCGCCGACGATGGCCGAAGCATTGCCAACCATCGGCGATGCGGCGCGATCCTCCGACCCCGTCTGCTCGGACCCCCCTTTGGGGGGCCTCCAGCCAGAGCAAGTGGAATCGGTCGGAAGGGGGGGGGGGGGCAGAAAGGCGCACCTTTACAACACTTTTTGGGCCGCGGTGCCAGTCTAAGGGGCGACGTTCCTGCTGCAGTCCTCGCTCGCGTAACGTTCATTGGCCCGCCCCCATTAGCATCCGCCGGGATGGAAGCAAAGCGCACAGGTGACCCGCAGGAGCGGGATGATAACCGCGTTCGCAGTATGAGTTCGAGAGGTGTTCACGTCCAGGGGGCGACGACGACGACGACGACGACGACGACGACGACGACGACGACGACGACAACGAACGGCGGTGGCGACGACGGCTGCGGCGGTGGCGGCGGCGACGCCGTCGCCGCCCGCCGCCGACCTCAGCGCCGCCGCCAAAGACCACCGAGGGCCGCCGCAGGGAGGGCAACGCTTGGGGGGCCAGCGAGGAGCGCTTGACGGGCGCTGGGGGGCTGCCGCGGGAGCCGGCCGAGCTGCGGGGGGATGGGTGCCCCTACGAGATGCTGGTCTTCGCCCCGCCCGCGCCGCGCGGGCGCCCCACAGGGGCGAAGCGTCGTCGCCGCCGTCGTCGTCGTCATCGTCGTCGTCGTCGTCGTCGTCGCCTCGTCAAGTTCCGCTCGCCCTCCCAGGGTAGGGGGACGAGGAGAGCGGCCGAGGGGCAGGAAGCAAGGAGGAGGGAGGAGGAGAATGAGGAGGAGGAGGAGGAGGAGGAGGAGGAGGAGCAGGAGGGGACAGAAGGAGAAAGAGGGACGTGGACGAGAAGGAGGGCGGAGAAGAAGAAGAAGAAGAAGAAGAAGAGGAAGAGGAGTACGAGGAGGAGGGCGACGCGGCGAGGAGAAGAAGTAGTAGGAGGGGGATAAGGACAGAAAAGGGAGAACGGGGGAGGAGGAAGAAGAGGAAGAGGGAGGATCAAAGGGAGGAGGAGGAGGAGGAAGCAGAAGGAGAAGAAGAGAGGAAGGAGGGAAAGGGAAGAGGGGAAAGGGACCCAGGGGGAGGAGAAGGACAATATAGAGAAGGAGGAGAAGGCATACGAGAGGGAGGAGGAGGAGGCAGAGGAGGAGGAGAAGTGAAGGAGGAGGAGGAGGAAGAGGAGGAGGAGGAAGAGGAGGAGGAGGAAGTGAGGAGGAGGAGGAGGAGGAGGAGGAGGAGGGGCGGGCGAGGGGGGAGGGGGGGGCAGGAATGAGAGGAGGACGACGACCAGGAGGACGTCGAGGATAGAGAGCGGAGGGAGAAGGGAGGATAGAGGCGAGAGAAAACGGGCCAGGGAGGACAGAGGAGGCCACAGGCAGAGAGGCGAGGAACGCACACGAAGGATAAAAGCGGATGCGAGAAGGAGGAGGAGGCAGAGGAGGAGGAGGAGGAGGAGGAGGAGGAGGAGGAGGAGGAGGAGGAGGAGGAGCAATAGCAGCAGCAGAATGACGAAGATGAGGGCAAGGACGGGAAGAAGGAGGGCTAGAGGAGGCGGAAGTCGAAGAGGAGGGGCAGGACGAATTGGAGGGGGATCAGGATGACGACGACTAGGAGCAGGACGAGGGGAAGGGGGTGGCCACAAGGGCGCTGCCGCTGTTGCTCTACCTCCACGGCGCGGGCGAGATGGGCGGCACCCTCCGCGAGATCCTCTCGGACGACGACGACGACGACGACGTCGACGACGACGACCACGACGACGACGACGTGGACGATGTCGACGACGCAACGACGACGCCCGCCCGCCCGCCCGCCGAGGGCCGCCGATAGCCCCCCGAGGGCCGCTGAGGGCCGCCGAGGGCCCTCGGAAGGAGGGCGCCACCGGGACACCGCCCGTGGAGCTGTCCAAGGGCACGGCGCTGCCCGCCCTCGCGCGCGGCTTCGTGGTCGTGGCGCCGCACTCGCGCGGCGGGTGGCAGGCGGAGGCGGTGGCGAGGCTCCTGGACTTCTCGGAGGCCCCGGCGGGGGGCGAAGAGCCTTGGCGCCATCACCCGACAAGCCTTCGGGCTCGCACAGGCAGCCCCCCCCAGGCAATCCCGGCGGGCCCCAGGAGGCCCCCCGAACAGTCCGGGGCGGTCTCAGCACTCCAGCGGCGACCCTGGGGCGCGGAGCCGATGCCACCTTGGACTGCCCGGGGGGCCTGCTGAAGCCCGCCGGGACTGCTTGGAGGGCTGCCCGTGCGCAACCCAGCGGCGGGCGGCTCCTGAGCCGGCTCGCCGGGGCCCCTCCCCGCCCCCGTGCGCGGCGCCTTCGACGCCGCAACAGGCAGGAACGGGCAAGGGGGCCTGGCGCCGCAGAAACCGGCCGCCCCAGACTGGGCTGGAGCAGATGGGGTCGGGGCATCGTGCCGCATCACGGGTGCATCGGCGGCGCGATGACGATAAAGTCGGGCTCCAGATCGCGCCGCGTCGCTGGTGCATCGGCGATGCGGCGCTGGGCGGCCTGGAGAGGGGCGGAAGATGGGATGGAGGTTCGAGGATCGAGGTCCCATGGCTTGGGCGTTTCTCGCCCACTCTGAGCCTCTGGGAGGCTTCTCCTTTCCACCGCCTGGTTCCCCTAGAAATGCTGGCCAGAGCGCACCCTTGGAGAGGCCCACCGATTGGTTCCCTCGAGGCGTCACGAGACAAAATCGAGACGACCAGTTTTTCTCAGCTTTCGGGGAGCACCTGGAGGCTCGGCCTGGGCCCCAGGATTTCACCCTGAGCAACGTTTGACAGTCCTGTGGCCCAGGGTGAAGTCCCGGCCCAAGGGATGAGGTCGAGAGGAGGCAGCGAAGAATAGCAGCGGCTTGCGCATTTGTGTTTGGCCCCCCAGCGGCCCCCCAAAAAGACGCGCGCCAAAGGTCACTCTTACCCAGGGTAGGGTAACTCTTGCGTGTAGCCGATTTGCGGGCCAGCGCCCAGCAGAAGGGTAGGCCCTCAGCGGAGAGAGGTCGTCGGTGCGGGCGCGCCTGGAATGTTCCAGAGCTTGCCTTCCCGAGCAATCTCGTGCGGCTGGGCCGGGAGTGAGGAAACACACTCCGACAGAAACTTCGGACGCCCGGTTCCGGGTGCTCTACGCCTCCTTCTGACGCTGGGTCGACTGCAGGATGGTTGCGCTCTCTCTATTGGTCGCTCCCCCCCGAAAAAGGCAGCAGCAGAAACTGCCGGACGCCGAGGGATGGGTTCTGCCCCCCTGCCCCAGTGCGCGAAGCGTGCCCGAGCCCCCGGGGATGCCCGGCAGCGTGGACCGTTCGCCCCCCCAGTGCGGCCTCGGCGTCGCAGTTTCTGTTGCGGCCAGGCGTTGCCGCCCCGTGTCGGGCCGCGGGGCCACCACGGACCGACCTGGCTCGAGAAGGTGCCGCAGGAAGACGGGGCCGAGGGGAAAGTCGGGCATGTCCGTCTACTCCAAAATAGCCCAAAACATTGTATGGGGACGACTTTTCTACTATTCTGTACCACTTGGGAACATTGTTTGACTATTTTTGCAGTTCTTCGTCCAAAACCCGCCTCTAGGAGGACATGCCCGACCTGAGTCTAGGGCTCTGGTCGTGATTCTCACGATGTCGCAATGTGTCGCCACGTCGGATCTCCGGGTTGAGCCCCTCGCCCGGGCCTCCGCACGTCCTGCTCTCCGACAACGCGGGCCTGGACCTCGACCCCGGGAGGCTCTACGTGCCCAGGCCTCAGCGCTGCCCCGCTCCACCTGGCGCGCTCCAGAAAGGCCTCGCCTTGCAGGGCCCGGGAGTTGGCACCTCTTCCGCGGCGGAAAGCCCGCGGAAGCACAAGTTGCACCCGCAAGAACTGCCAACGTGCGTTGATCAAGGGTTGCCGGAAACCACAGCTTGAGCGACCGAAGGAAACGGGTTCGGCTACGCCGAATTTCGCGCGTAAGCTGCCCGCGTCAGCACCTTACGGTAAGGTCGCGCGGAAGCGCCCTCTTCTCCACGCGGTGTGACGCGCTGGCGGCCCGTTTAAGCCGCGGCGTAAGGTCGCTACGTCTTCTCGCGTAAGACGCGTCGGTTTTCCGTCATTCATTTGTCGACGGCCCATAAAACGCAGGTTGACTCAGCCTAGATTTGCCTCGCGGACCTCCGCTGGCAGCATTGGAGCCCCCAGCGTCCGTCGGCGCAACGCGTTTCGCGCAATTACAGACGAGCCTTCATGGACAAGCGCAAGGCTCGAGTGCTGCCAGACATGGCCCAGGCCCATGGTGGCCCTTCCAGGGAGGCCAAGGTGGACCTCCAGAGCAAACCTTGCGACACCAGGAAGGGAGGGGGAGAGGGGAGGACGAGGACGAGGACGAGGAGTAGGAAGAGGAGGAGGCGAAGGAGGAGCAGGACGAGGAAGAGGAGGAGGAGGCGGAGGAGGAGGAGGAGGAGCGGCAGGTTGCGGAGGAGGAGTACAACGACTAAGGACAGGGCACTCCATGGGCGGCTCCGGCGCCCTTTCCGCCGGCACCACGCGGCGCCGGGCGGCCAATGCGGAACCTCAAGCCCGACCTGTTGATCTTTTCTCCTCCTCCTCCGCCTCTTCATCCTTCTCCTCCTCTTCCTCCTCCTCCTCCTCCTCCTCCTCCTCCTCCTCCTCCTCCCCCTCCTCCATTCCTCCATTTCCTCCATTCCCCCATTCTTCCTTTTTATATACAATTCCTTCTTGCCGCACCCCCAAACGCGTCGGTTCCGTAGCATTTTGGCTCAAAATGCAGAATTTCCCAGAGGACCGAGTAAATACTGCTGGTCCGCGGCCAGGTTTCGTTTCTTCACGCTTCTGTCGGAGAATCGCCCTCTCGCGAGTGCGGGAGGCCTTTTTCCCCAAACAGCTTGCTGAACGGGGGAGCAGAGACATCCTCACACAAATTTTATGGTTTTGGTTTTTTCGCTTGAGACATCCTCACAACTCTCGTTTCTGAGTTGGCCGGGATTGGCCGTTTCGCCTGAGACATCCTCGAAAAGCTGCGCTCCGGGACGCCGCGCGAGAGGTGGTCCGGGCCGTTTCGCTTGAGACATCCTCGAAATTCTAAGCCCCGAGGTGCCGTGCGAGAGGTGGTCCGGGCCGTTTCGCCTGAGACATCCTCGAAACTCTGAGCTCTACGATGCCTTGCGCGAGGTGGTCCGGCCCGTTTCGCCTGAAACATCCTCGAAACTCTGATTTCGGAGGTGCCGCGCGAGAGGTGGTCCGGCCCGTTTCGCCTGAGACATCCTCGAACTTCTGAGCTCTGAGATGCCCTGCGCGAGGTGGTCCGGCCCGTCTCGCCTGAGACATCCTTGCAACTCTGAGCTCTGAGATGCCGTGCGCAAGGTGGTCCGGCCTGTTTCGCACAAGACATTCTCGCAACTCTGAGCTCTCAGATGCTGCGCGAGAGGTGGTCCAGCCTGGGCGCCCAGAAGACCACATGTTACATATCCTCCATGGGACCCTGCGAGCCTCAGGAGGCCCCAGAGCGGTCCAGGAGGCCGCAGGACGCCCAGGACAGGCCCCAGGGGCCCCCAGGAGATTCCCAGGAAGCTCCCAGGAGGCCCAAGGAGGCCCTCTATCAGAACGTGTCAAGTTAATACACATCCGGTGTCGATTCTTTGATTTTTCCTGCTCTTGTGCCCCCCCCTCCATTTTGAGGGGCCCAAGCGGCCACAGGTTTGATATCCACCCTGGGAGCCCCAAGAGGCTTCAGGAAATCCCAGGTGGAGGAGTTCAGGAGGCCACAGGAGGCCCAGGAGGAAGCTCCAGGAGGTCCCCAGGAGGCCCCAGGAGGCACCAGGAGGCCGCAGGACGCCCAGGACAGGCCCCAGGGGTCTCCAGGAGATTCCCAGGAGGCTCCCAGGAGGCCCCCGGAGGCCGCCTATCAGAACGTGTCAAATTAATACACATCCGGTGTCGATTCGTTGATTTTTCCTGCTCTTGTGCCCCCCCATTTGGAGAGGCCCAAACGGCCACAGGTTAGACATCGCCCCTGGGAGCCCCAAGAGGCTTCAGGAAGCCCCAGGTGGGGTCCAGGAGGCCACAGGAGGCCCAGGAGGAAGCCCCAGGAGGTCACCAGGAGGTCCCAGGAGGCCCCAGGAGGCCCCCGCAACTCGGAGCTCTGAGACGCCGCGCTCCAGGTGGTCCGGCCCGTTTCGCCTGAGACTTCCTCGCACCACGTTTCGCCAGAGACATCGTCGCAACTCTGGGGTCCGAGATGCCGCGCGCGAGGTGGTCCAGCCCGATGCGCTGGAGACATCCTCGCAACTCTAGGCTCCGAGGTGCCGTTCGGAATGAAGAGGAGGTGGAGGAGGAGGAGGAGGAGGAGGAGGAGGAGGAGGAGGAGGAGATGGAAGGGAGAAGGAGGAGGTGGATGATGCCCATGAGGGAGCAGGCAGGAGGAGGGGGAGGCCCCAGAGAGCTCCAGGAGGCCGCAGGACGCCCAGGACAGGCCCCAGGGGTCCCCAGGCCCAGGAGATTCCTAGGAGGCCCCAGGAGGCCGCCTATCAGAACGTGTCAAGTTAATACACATCCGGTGTTGATTCGTTGATTCTTCCTGCTCTTGTGCCCCCCCTCCATTTGGAGAGGCCCAAACGGCCACAGGTTAGACATCCCCCCTGGGAGCCCCAAGAGGCTTCAGGAAATCCCAGGTGGAGTTCAGGAGGCCACAGGAGGCCCAGGAGGAAGCCCCAGGAGGTCCCCAGGAGGCCCCAGGAGGCACCAGGAGGCCCCCGCAACTCGGAGCTCTGAGACGCCGCGCTCGAGGTGGTCCGGCCCGTTTCGCTTGAGATTTCCTCGCAGCACGTTTGCCCGAAAAATCGTCGCAGCTTTGGGGTCCGAGATGCCGCGCGCGAGGTGGTCCAGCCCGTTAGGCTGGAGACATCCTCGCAACTCTAGGCTCCGAGATGCCGTTCGGGATGAAGAGGAGGTCGAGGAGGAGGAGGAGGAGGAGGAGGAGGAGGAGGAGAGGAGAAGGAGAAGGAGATGGAAGGGAGAAGGAGGAGGCGGATGATGTGCATGAGGGAGCAAGCAGGAGGAGGGGGAGGAGGAGGGAGGAGGAGGAGGAGGAGGAGGAGGAGGAGGAGGAGGGAGTTTGCAGGAGAGGACCTAACGGGAAGCGAGTGCGATGTGGACTTGTCAAAACGTGTGCGAAAGATTGTCCGGCCCGTTTCGTTTGAGACATCCTTCCAATACTGAGCTCCAAGATGTCGCTCGCGAGGTGGTCCGGCCCGTTTCGATTGAGCCATCCTCGCAATGCGAGGCTCGAAGATGTTGCGCGCGAGATGGTCTGGCCCATTCTGCCTGAGACGTTTCGTAGCACAGGAGCTCCAATCACAACCTCTCTCATTCCTTCTCCCGCCTCCCTCTTCCCACTTCCCGCCTGGTTCCTCTTCCCTCCTCCCTCCTCCCGCCTCCCGCCTCCCGCTGCTGCGCCTCTGCCTCCGCCTCCCCGTCCCCGCCGTCGTCGTTTCTGCCGCCTCAGCATCCGTCATGCGCGCACTGCCTTCCGCCCTCCCCAGACATCCGACGTCACGATTTTTCCCCAAACAGCTTGCTGAACGGGGTGCTGTTGTGATAGAAACTAACTCCGGCCGAGGGAACGCGGAGCAGAGACATCCTCACACAAATTTTATGGTTTTGGCCGTTTCGCTTGAGACATCCTCACAACTCTCGTTTCTGAGTTGGCCGGGAATGGCCGTTTCGCCTGAGACATCCTCGAAAAGTTGCGCTCCGGGACGCCGCGCGAGAGGTGGTCTGGGCCGTTTCGCTTGAGACATCCTCGAAACTCTAAGCCCCGAGGTGCCGTGCGAGAGGTGGTCCGGGCCGTTTCGCCTGAGACATCCTCGAAACTCTGAGCTCTGCGATGCCTTGCGCGAGGTGGTCCGGCCCGTTTCGCCTGAGACATCCTCGAAACTCTGACTTCGGAGATGCCGCGCGAGAGGTGGTCCGGCCCGTTTCGCCTGAGACATCCTCGAACTTCTGAGCTCTGAGATGCCCTGCGCGAGGTGGTCCGGCCCGTCTCGCCTGAGACATCCTTGCAACTCTGAGCTCTGAGATGCCGTGCGCAAAGTCGTCCGGCTTGTTTCGCACAAGACATTCTCGCAACTCTGAGCTCTCAGATGCTGCGCGAGAGGTGGTCCAGCCTGGGCGCCCAGAAGACCACATGGTACATATCCTCCATGGGACCCTGCGAGCTCCAGGAGGCCGCAGGACGCCCAGGACAGGCCCCAGGGGACCCCAGGAGATTCCCAGGAGGCTCCCAGGAGGCCCCAGGAGGCCCTCTATCAGAACGTGTCAAGTTAATACACATCCGGTGTCGATTCGTTGATTCTTCCTGCTCTTGTGCCGCCCCCTCCATTTTGAGGGGCCCAAGCGGCCACAGGTTAGATATCCCCCCTGGGAGCCCCAAGAGGCTTCAGGAAACCTCAGGTGGAGTTCAGGAGGCCACAGGAGGCCCAGGAGGAAGCTCCAGGAGGTCCCCAGGAGGCACCAGGAGGCCGCAGGACGCCCAGGACAGGCCCCAGGGGTCTCCAGGAGATTCCCAGGAGGCTCCCAGGAGGCCCCAGGAGGCCGCCTATCAGAACGTGTCAAGTTAATACACATCCGGTGTCGATTCGTTGATTCTTCCTGCTCTTGTGCCCCCCCTCCATTTGGAGAGGCCCAAACGGCCACAGGTTTGATATCCACCCTGGGAGCCCCAAGAGGCTTCAGGAAACCCCAGGTGGAGTTCAGGAGGCCACAGGAGGCCCAGGAGGAAGCCCCAGGAGGTCCCCAGGAGGCCCCAGGAGGCCCCAGGAGGCCCCCGCAACTCGGAGCTCTGAGACGCCGCGCTCGAGGTGGTCCGGCCCGTTTCGCCTGAGACTTCCTCGCAGCACGTTTCGCCCGAGACATCGTCGCAACTCTGGGGTCCGAGATGCCGCGCGCGAGGTGGTCCAGCCCGTTACGCTGGAGACATCCTCGCAACTCTAGGCTCCGAGATGCCGTTCGGGATGAAGAGGAGGTCGAGGAGGAGGAGGAGGAGGAGGAGGAGGAGGAGGAGATGGAAGGGAGAAGGAGGAGGCGGATGATGTGCATGAGGGAGCAGGCAGGAGGAGGGGGAGGCCCCAGAGAGCTCCAGGAGGCCGCAGGACGCCCAGGACAGGCCCCAGGGGTCCCCAGGCCCAGGAGATTCCTAGGAGGCCCCAGGAGGCCGCCTATCAGAACGTGTCAAGTTAATACACATCCGGTGTCGATTCGTTGATTCTTCCTGCTCTTGTGCCCCCCCCTCCATTTGGAGAGGCCCAAACGGCCACAGGTTTGATATCCCCCCTGGGAGCCCCAAGAGGCTTCAGGAAACCCCAGGTGGAGTTCAGGAGGCCACAGGAGGCCCAGGAGGAAGCCCCAGGAGGTCCCCAGGAGGCCCCAGGAGGCACCAGGAGGCCCCCGCAACTCGGAGCTCTGAGACGCCGCGCTCGAGGTGGTCCGGCCCGTTTCGCCTGAGATTTCCTCGCAGCACGTTTGCCCGAGAA